TTCAGCCGTGTCAGTGATGGTTTTGTTACATACCAGTGTGACGATGGTGACTCTGTAAAAGTGAGGGATTGATTACCACAAACGGTGAGACTATCAGTTATTATCCGCTATTGAAAGTCGCACGCACACATTCGAACATCCGCACATATTCACTGCATGCAGTGTCGATGTATATTCTAAATGAAGTACCTTACCAGCACAAGTTGACTTATTGGAAATGCGTTATTATAAGTTGTGTGGATGTCACAATTTTCTTTTATTCGTTAGACTGTGTGTACACGTCACCGATTCGTGTGATGATATCATAACTTACTGCTCTTGGCCTGTAGTGTTCTGTGTATACGTCACAATGAGTTCATTAGAGGCAGGATCAACATTCCAGAGCGAACCATCCTGCTTTCCAATAGGGATGTTTTGGTTTTGAAGGTTTTGGCACGCCTGTGAAGATTTACATGAAATGTAACAGCATTTTACGTGAAAATAGGGTTGGTGGAGTGTACCAACACAAATGGGAATCGCCCCTAATGACCTCATGTCGGAAAATCAAGCGAGGTGTTGGAGGAGAGTGGGGCCAGGGATAATCACAGACAAGCAGGTTCAATGCGAATAAAAAAAAATGAACCAAATATATTTTAAAACATATGAATAATAATTTTCTGGTTGTTTTCTCTTAAGTGTTGAATATTTTATTTTTGCACAACAGTACGTAATCAGACACCTTGTTATTTCGCCAGAAATTATAATCGTCGCTCACCCATAATGACGTTAATGTTCGAGGACGATGCAAGTGGGGTTTGCGAAACAAGGCTGGTTTCACCCCGAACAATAAGACTTTATAAATATAAACAAAATTGCTATGATGATGATGCATCATGAAGATGAGGTTGGTCACGAGTTTTCTTTTACAAACTTTTAATACGTATTGAGAGTATTTACCGCCACATTTTCACACGCTCCGTCTGTAAAAGGATAGCACGGGTTGTACGAGTACTTCACACTGTTAGGATCCAAGCCTGAGAATCTGCACAAAAATATTTTCAAAAAGTTGTGTGAGGTTAAAAAGTTATGTGTTACCTCCCTCTTCTTACAAGACCATACTCCTGACCATAATTACAGTCAGTGGTCGATGAGGTCGAGAAGGTTGGGTCAAGGTCGAAAAGGTTAGGTCAAGGTCGAAAAGGTCAGGTCATGGTGTAGAAGGTCAGGTGACATATGGAGAGGGTCAGAAGCACCGGTACATGACAGGTGCCTCGGAAGTGGTGCCAATCAGAAAAAGTTAAGTGTACCTGTGGAGGTGGGGGGGGGTACCTTTTCATAAAAGCAATGATTAGTTTTTGAGTCTGACGTTATCTTTCACTAATTTAACATCTAAACAATCTAACTAGCTAAATAAAACTTCCAGAGTTGTAGTGGTTGTAGGTGGAAAAGGGTACTTTTGTAGTTTATCCCCACCCTCTTAAATTCTTTTATTTTATTTTTATGTTAAGGCGACTTTCATCAGTGTCTCTGCATTTCAAACAAATTTTATGCAATACAAACAATAGTTTGGAATATAAGTAAATAATTTCTTATCTTTTAATTAAACCTTCAAACTCGATGGCAAATAATATTACATGGCCAGAAATGTGCAGCATTTACGCGATACGCGAGGGCGCAACAGTAGAGGTTCACGTGACTCAACTAACCAAACACAGCACAAGAATGGCAGCCCACAGACTCTGTGATAAGTGCTCAGCCCATTGTCAAGTAGTGTTAGTTCATGGTAACAAGCGTCTGATATGTGCAGAGAAGTTTATTATTATAATATATATTGTTCTTATTGTTACATTATTAAATCTAACTCTGTATCCAAGTAGAAACTATACTGTACCAAGTCAGGTACTGATGATGTACAGAGGTAATATATTCCAGAATGAGCCATTACCACTGATTTATAACATTCATTTTTGTTTAATATGATATTCATGAAAGAGTTCATGATAGATTATTTTAATTTGTTAAATCGTGATCTTATTCTTTTTTTATATTCAAATAATTGAATACTGTGGGTAAAATTGGTCTTCCACTTCTTATTTGCATTTTTCCTTTACTACAAGATTATTTTGGAACAGTTGCAGCATTAAAAATTTAAATAAATAGA